GGCAAGTATCCTGACTATTCTTTGGTACGTTAAGTCCGGCCATTCTAAGGCCCGGTAATACGTTACCTATTAGTCATCTGTGTGACACAATTCTACGTACTGGACCAACTAGTAATCCTGACATTACGACATGGCCATAGATCCTGTAGAATTGTATCAGCACATAGCTGCTTGCGAGAGAAAGCTAGTGGAGAATGATCACCGTATGGATTGTTTTGCCCAGGCTTTCAGTATGCTCCTTACTCAAACAGCACATCTGCAACTTGCGGCTTCTCCAACTGTGTCACCTCCACCTAATCTTCCTCCTGTAGTACATAAGGCACCTACTATCTCCCTATCACCTCCCCTGCATTTTGATGGTAATATTCAAGAATGCCGGGGATTTAATAACCAAATTGAGTATCATTTTGAGGCCTCACCAGGATCTTTTCCCACTGACAGAGCTAAAATTGGTTACCTGATGAACCAACTTAAAGGTAAAGCTTTAGCTTGGGCTAATCTGTTATGGGAGAGTAGTAGGAGCATTGCACACAATTACCAGGAATTCCTTGCGGAATTTAAACTTACGTTTGAACCATTAGGCAGGGAGGATGACGCCTCTACTGCCATAATGCATATTAGACAAGGGAACCGGTCTATCTCTAAGTATGCCATAGAATTCCGCACCTTGGCTTCCGAGGTAGACTGGACTAATCTCAGCATTTAAGAAGGGATTATCTGAGACTAAATTGGATGAGATTGCTGCCAAAGAATTACCCAAAAAACTCAATGACTTTATTACGTTTAATGTGCTAATTAATAATAGCCTCAGAACCAGAAATAAAACCAGATGTATGGCTTTGACATTAGGCCTCATTTCTCCAGAACAGTTGTTCCTGACCTCTCGATACAGTCTGAACCCGAACCTATGCAGTTGGGGGTCACTAGACTGTCCGAGGCAGAAAGACCACATCGGAGAAGAGAGGGTCTATGCATATACTGTGGTGAAAAAGGACATATGAGGAGTACTTGTCCCATAAGTCCGGAAAACTACCGCACCTAAGAACCTTAAGGGGACAGGTCTTAGGTGTAATGGACACGTCCTCTGGGAATAACAATAATAGATTTCTCCTTGATATTACGATCATAGTTGACAAAAAAAACTTTTCATGCAAGGCCCTGGTGGACTCAGGTGCAGCAGGAAATTTCATCGATGTTCATTTTGTTAAAAAGAATGCTATACCTATCAAGTAGAGAATATCACCTCTGGCCATTGAGGCTATTGACGGGAGACCAATCTCTCAACCCTTAATTACCCATGAAACCTTGCCCATTAACATGTTTATTTGTGTCTTACATAAGGAAGATATAATATTCCAAATATTGCATCTCCTTCTTGCCCTGTCATATTAGGCTTTCCTTGGCTTAGTAAGCACAACCCTCATATCGACTGGGCTAATGGGGAAATATTGGAATGGGGAAAGATTGTAATGGGAAGTGTATGTTACACCTCACCAAGAGAGTGGGTACCATTAAATTACCAACTACTATACCTCAAACCCCTGAAGTTCCCATACAATACTGAGAGGTTAAAGAAGTATTTAGTAAGAGTCAGTCCAATATCTTATCTCCTCACAGGTCATATGACTGTTCCATAAATCTGTTACCCGGCGCTATGTCACCTAAAGGGGCAGTATATGCCTTATTGCCACAGGAGAGTAAAATAATGGAAGAATATATCAAAGACTCACTAAACAAGGGCCATATAAGGAAATCATCCTCACCTGCTGGTGCAGGCTTCTTTTTTGTAGAAAAGAAAGATGGAGAATTACGTCCATGCATTGACTACAGAGCATTAAATAAGATTACTGTTAAGAATGCCTATCCTATTCCTCTCATTTCCGAATTGTTTGATAGACTCCAGGGTGCTAAGATCTTTACCAAACTGGATCTCAGGAGTGCATACAATTTGGTGAGAATCAAGGAAAATCATGAGTGGAAATGGCATCTAACACTAGATGCGGGCACTACGAGTACCTTGTTATGCCTTTTGTGCTATACAGTGTGTAGCGAAAGTGACCTTGCCACTGTTTTTTGGAGGGGCCTGTTTGCCAGCCTCCTGCCCTGCGACTATGGCCCTGGGATGTATTGCCCTTTAAGGAACTGATTTGGGCATATTGTATTTTATTATGCTGCTGGCCCTTTAAGAACCATCTGGGGACATACTGTGGAGTTACTGGGTGGCCACCATTTCATGTATCAGAGGCACATGGTGGGGTCCCTGTGATATGCTTTATAATACTGTATTTTCCTGCATTAAGTTAGTCTATTGTGTTGAGATAATTGTATCACAGGCAGAGGGGAGGATTTCTGATGTAATGAATGGGAATGTTAGCTGTGTTGTAATGTGTTGATTGGTTGTGCTTCAAAACCCTGTGGGCAGTACTATGTTTGTAGAATGTGAATAAAAGAGGCTGTATGTGCCAGTACAGACAGTTCTACTTCACCCTCAATCTAGAGACCTGTCTATTAGTGTTGGAATCTGCTACAAGGGATTGCTATGCTTGTCATACTCCCTTGCTAAATTACTACTAAGCTCTTGTAAGAGCTTGTTCCTACCTTGCTCTCTGGAGGAGTCTGCGGTGGTTGTGGTGTCTGCGGAGTGATTGGAGCCCTCTGTAAGTGGTAGGAGCATCCTTCAACGGAGGTACCTAGTCGGGGTGCCAGGTGATCCGTTACACAGTGCACCGGCCGTATTCCAGGATTTTATTAATGATGTACTGAGGGATTATATCTATTCTTTTGTCCTGGTTT